GGCACGTTCCATGCTGTACATAATTCGGAGAGGAATTGAAAATAAAGCCTCCAAGAGTGCACTCCCATTATACAAGTATGTTGCAAACGCACTTAAAATGCTGTGTGTGGTTCTAAAAAAGGATATTGTGGAGTTGGCAGAAGTGCAGGGAAGGGCAACTGAAAGGGCCGAGGGCTGGAGCAGCTCGTCTCCGAGCCAGAAGGTGCAGCGGCCGAGTCGGTTTGGCCGAGAAAAAAGCTGTGCGAGGGAAGATGCGCCGGAGGTGCACAAAATTATGCACGGGGTAGAGAAAGTGAGTAAGGATGTTAGCTGCTTAAGCAGGTCTTGCGATTTAACCTGTATAAGCTATTCCCGGTTTTTAATGTTTGTTTTAAATCTGGCTTTTAAATCTTGAATGGTGATATTTATGATACGTTTATTGTGGGTTGCATTTTATGCTGCATTTTATGTGTTATAAGCTGCCCAGAAAGCTTTGGCTACTGGGCAGTACAGAAATAATCAGCGTCATAACCGTTCATAAAGAGGCCATATTTCTTCCTCTCTCGTCCTGCTAGAACCTGGAGTCGTCCTGTGAAGCGGATTATTGGCAGGAGTTCCAGGAAGGGCCTCCTCAAACCGCACCTAGTTCAGATCCCCCAACATGCAGCGAGTGCCTTTGAAAGGGGAAGGGCAAACGCACGGAGGAGAAAGAGGCCAGTGGCTGTTAGTCCCGGTGGCCGTGCACGCCTTCCAGGATCAGAGGAAGTCTGCTGTCGGAGACGGTCCCGTGGCCTGAGTGCTTCCATGGGCAGCTGGTGGGCCGAAGGGGCCCCCGGCCGGATCCTGGCACTCCTCTGGCGCTCCCTGAGTGAAAAAGCCGCACTTCCTTGCACTTCTCCTGGAGGAGCCATAGTGGGGAGACCACGTCGGGCCATGCGGGCGGGTGGGTAGAGTGGCTGGCAGGACCCCCTCCTGGGCTGGCCAAGATGCTGGATCATCCCGGCTCTGGGGTTTTTCCAGCCCCGCACATGGATCTCACTGCTGCAGGAGAGCGGGAGAGTGCCTGGCTTAAACCTCTTTTAAAAGCAGATTAGGACAGAAGTGGTGTGGGGATTCGTGAGTGACTTCATGTCCTAATGAACATGTTTGGAGGTTGCACATCTGACGGCCAGATGCACAAATCGGGGGGTGCACTCCCCCTGTCCCTCCCTAAGAGTGCCCCTAAATTACCCGGCTGGCCACAGTTGGATGTTAATTTGTGGATTGAGGTGGACCGGAGTGCTCTGAGCGGCGGTTGCCCTAAATTGGAGACAAGCGAGCGCCGCAGAAAGTCTCTGTTGAGCGTGCAGCGAGACCAGCCCACCGTGGGGATTTGGTCTGCCTGTCGGTCCGTTCGGGAGGGGAGGGGAGGGGAGGGGAGGGAGACAGAAAACCCACTAAGGTGCTGCTTCGGCCGCCAAGCCCTGCTCTGCCAGCCTTGCCACGGGGGCCTTCTGGGGGGCGGGGGCCTCCACTTTTCCATTCATTCAGCCTCTTAACAAGCGCCTTTATAGCAACGCGGATGGTTCTGAAATCTCGTGGCTGACCTTTCCGGCTCTGGAAGCTGTCCAAGGCTTGTGTCTTAAAGCGCGGTGAAGGTTAGGAAGGAGGGAGCCGGGAGAGGCGGCGGGCGTGCGCACGCAGGGAGAAGGGCATGCGAGTGGGAGACGGGAATGCGACTGATGCCGCAGGAAGCGCGGGGGAGATGCCAGGCGGAGTTTTCCACGACCTTTGAGAGGGTGTGTTTGTTCCCCTTCCAGCAAGTAAGAACCTGCCGACAGAACATGGTTCGGCCGAAAGGGCAGCAGGAAGCGCAGGCGAGTGATCCCCGTCGGCTCTGCTGCGGGAGAAGAGGGTGCCCACGAAGTCTGCCCACCCTGCAGCGAGCAGGGGACGCGGGCGGGCGGGCGGGCCCCTTCTGCAGGGCTTGGCCTGCACGGTGGGGCAAGCACGCCGGGCCAAGCTGCCTCCCCGTGGCAGATCCGGGGGCTCTGCGGCACGAGGGGCCGGCCTTGTCCCAGCTGGTTTTTCTGCCTCTGGCTGTGCTCAGCACTGGGGACCTGAGGACGCACGGACGGGTGCCCTGGCCAGGGCAGCGTGAGAACGGATGCCTGCCCCATCTGTGGGAATGGCGCCTGTAAACACCTGTGCACATTCAGCTGGGAGGCCCACAGCAGGTGTGTTGCCGTGTCGGCAACCTGTCACGTGTTACAGCCCTCCACGGGCTGCCGTGGCACAAGAATCGGACCGATTCCACCGGGGTGGCTGGCCTGTGGCGCAGAGCGGCTGGCCCATGGGCTGTTGGTGGGGATCATCGTCCCCGTGATGGGGTACGCTGTGCTGTCCGAACCCAGGCGACCCACCCCACTGTGGCTGGGGTAACTGGGGAGCAACCAACGGCACGGGCAACAGCAAGTCCTTGCCACTCCAGCCACAGGCTCGTGGGCCCCTGGCACTGACTTCCCCACTCCTTGCTGTGAATCTGGGCTGTTCAGGGTCGCTCTGGCTTTATTTCAACACCCCCCCCCCCTTTGCAGACCTTGAAAGCTGGGAGGCAGCCCCTGGGGGGAGCTGGCTGTGTTTGCCAGGATTTTTAAAAATGTTCCTCTTCATTGTTTGCAAATGGTTGCAAAATTATTTTTCTGAATGTTTCGCCCAGAGACGCCGGCAGCAGCGTGGGTGCAGGAACAGGGCACCCTGGCAGGGAAACCTGCAGGGGGCACCCGGCCCGGACCTTGCCCCACCCAGGCCACAGGCCAGCCCTTTTTGCTGTTGGGCTGCATCCGACAGCTGTCAAAAGATGGCCCGTCAAAGGTGACCGAAGGTCCAAGTGACCTCAGCTCGTAATAAGCGGGAGGTGAGTCACACCGTTCTCAGCATCCCAAAGGTGCCCTGACTCGTGCGTGTGTTCCTCGGAAGAGGCAACAGCACGAGGCACCTCCATTCATGGGAGCCCTCGCTTTGGATAGCTGTCAAAGGTAAAGCTCCATTTTTCACCTGGGGTTTAGAAAGGATCAAAAACCGGGACCAGGAAAGGCTGTGGGCACGCAGGTGAAGAGGGCAGGCGGTGGGGAGACAGCTCGGCCCCCCCATGTGTACGCGCCATTGTCTGCCGCTGGACTCCCTCCGCAGAGTGCCTGCATCAAAGGCTTCGCCACCTCCTTCTCGGCCTCTTTTGCCTTCAGGCTATGACGGCGAGGGTCCGTTGCTCAGAGCCAGCACCTGAGGTCCGGGCTTCCCACCCCTGTTCTAGGTGAAGGGGGGGGTACCTGTGGTTTCGCCAGCGAGGTCCGGTGGCTGGGAGCCCAGCCGTGCCCCCAGCCGAAGCCTTTGTGCACCACGGACCCCTCAGCCAGGGCCTGGCACGGGGGCACATGCCTCAGCTCGCTGGGTTGCCATCAGCTGCTGGCCCTTCGCTGCGCCCTCTCCCCCTGCCCCCGAACTGCCCGCCCCCTGCAGAGTTGTAAGGTTCTTGCAATAATGCGCACGGAGCAATTGGAACAGCTGGAATAGCATTAAATATGCGTATAACCATCAGAAAAAATAATCTCTTAAATTGGATTTTAATAGCATTTTAATGGGGGCATTTATAGGCATTCTCCAATTTTACTTGCATGGCTCCAAAGTTTCCCAGCTTGTGCGGTTGGTGTGCGAGGCCCCGCTCCCAGCTTCAGAGAGATGCGGTGCGTATTTCGGTGTGCTGTGCGCTTCTCCCTTTGAGGGATCGTCTCGCTGGTCCAGCAGGTGTGGGCACCACCCTCCCCCTGGTGCCGCCATCTCCCTTTCCCGACCCTGGACCGTGGGGCAGGATGCTCGCCGTGTGGGGAGGAGCGCCTCGGAGACCCACGTCTCAGCAGTGCCATTTAGCGGGTAGACTGGCCCTTTGGCCAGGCGGTTTTCCCCCGCAGAACATGCCAGCTGCCCGCCAGCACATCGGCTGCACTCGGAGCGGCCGCTGCAGCAAACAATAGAATTGGGCCTGCGTTTGCCGTGTGTCCCGGAGGCATCGCTTTGCTGCAGAAGCTCTTAGAACATCCTCCTTGCCGCCACTGCCTTGCCCCCCCCATGCAATGTGGAACCATTACTGGTGCTTGGTACCCTCTCCGCATGAATCTGCACTGTGCATCAGTCCCAGAACGCAAACCTTCCCCAGCTTTATTTATTCTTCTCATTCTTGGAGGTGCGGGTGGAGAGGCCAAATCGGTGTGATGCTGTCCTGGCCTCCTCTGGGGGGTCGTGGGGGGGGAAGGTATGTGTCCTGGGCACTTCTTCCATTTCACTTGGCAGCCTGAGGAAACTTGGTAGATTTGGCGCACTGGTGGTGCTGTGGGAAGAGGCGGGAGATCCGGGGTCCAATCCGCACCTGGCCAGGAAGCTCCCTGGTCACCTTGCGCAGGTGCGCCCTTCTTTGCCTACCTCCTGGGGTGGTTGGGAACACAAACAAGGTGCTGCTTTGATGTGAGTGTCATGTGAACTGAGGAGAAAGTGGCGGGCGGGTGGAGCCCAGAATCTCCGGGCAGGTGCGCAGCCTGGTGTGCTCTCCGCGGCAGCGCTCCCTTCCACCCACCCCTCGGCGGGCACGGCTTGTCCGCCGGCTGCTGCCAGCAGTTCATGCGAGCCTGGGCGTCTGAATCAGGCCAGGCGGGCACTCGGCGGTGCCCCAGGCGCAGGGCCCGTGCACCCCGGCTGCTGCGGGCAGCGCTCTGCCACGCGGAGGGAGACGGGGAATGCCAGGCACCGCAGAGGCCATCTGTCCCTGGAAGAGGCCGGGCCTGATGGCCCTTAATTGCAGTCCCTGCCATTCCTCTTCTCGTTGTCTTCAAACAGGAAGCCCCAGCGGGAAATGAGCTGTGTTGGGGAAGTCTGGAGCCACGATTTGGGCGGCGGGGGGGGGGGGGAGGAGTGGGAGGGCTGGTGCAAAGGCAGCCGCCTCCTTGCCCCTCCCTCCCTTGCCTCTTTTAACCCTTTCCTGCTACCTCTAGGATGAGACGTCGGTGAGCAGCGAGGACTTTGACATGAGTGATTCCACATGGATGTCCACAGACCAGCATCTTAACTCCAGTTTGAGCCCAAACCAGGAGGAAGGGATGCGCAGCCCGCAGAATATCCACAGCCAGGAGGATGGTGAGTGGCCGTTCCTGCCTTTTGGGGTGGGGGGGGCGGCAGGGGAGGCCTCTTTGGGGCTCGCTGGGCCACAATGGCGCCATTTTGGTCAAGCAGCTCTCGCGGAGGGCCTTCGGGGTGCTTCGGCTTTCGGGCCTTCGGGGTCCCCACACAAGGGGCGCACCTGCTTCTCTCGGGCCGTCTGCAGCACAGCAACATCCTTGCAAGGATGTCTCCACTGCTCCTTGTCGGGTGGCAATCCAAGAAGTGTTTGAAAGAAAAAAAAGATTGGGCTCATTGGGATGACCGGGTGGATCGGAGGTCAGAGGGCATGGAAAGAGCACGGTCCCGGCAGTCTTGGAGCCTGCCTCCCCTTCACACTGAATTAGCCTTCCTGATGTGCTGAATTACCCTCCGGTCTACCCATGCAGCTAGTGGGAGACCTGTGCCACTTCGGGTTGTATGTGGGACACACACGCGCTGCCCATGTGCAATGAGTTCTCCGCAGGCTGAAAACACAGCAAGCAAGAGAGAGGTTCTCCAGCTCAGGGCATCCCCTGATGTGCTAGTTCTCTTCTTGCGGGGATCTTTCAAAAGCACCTTCAGCAGAGTGTTTGCAAGGTGGCTCCCCCATCTTGCAGCACAGTCCGCAGCGCCTCCTCCAGTGCCTCCCTTTGCTTCTGCCTGGCCGACGCCGTCGTGCAGACCAGGGAAGGCCGCTGGAAGGGCCCCCAGAGCTGCTTCCGGATGCTGGCAGTTAGTCAGGATGCGAGTAATTGGTGTGAGTGGGGCGGTGCTGGCCGCTTCCTCTGTGAGGAGCAACGAGCGCCCCGGGTGGGCTGCTCTCTGTAGCCCCGCCCTTCGGTTCACAGCATCTTTGAGCAAGTCTATCTATTTCCAGTCCCCCTTTGTCTAGGGTCTCCATGCAGAGTGCCCCCCCCCCCCCCCGTGCCAAAGGTGAGGCAGTTGTGCTGCGCAGGCCCGGCATTTGGATAGTAACACCGAGCATTCGCCCAACACTCCCTGGTGCAGCGGGTCCGCTTCCTCCGGTGGCTGCAGCCCACCGCTTGGGAGGGTGGCCGGCGACTTGTGCACAGGCTCATTCCGGAGGGCCCCCCCCCCCCGCTTTCTCCGGGGCAAGCAGCCCAGATGGCAGAACTGGGAGGGATGGCTCCTAGACTGGGAGAGCAGAGCCCACCGGGCCAGGGAGGCGAGGGCACCCGGGGCACCCGGCATGCCATCGCTCTGCCCAGCTCCGCGGCCTGGAAGCACATCAGCCACCCTTTGAGGGCGGAATTTGGTTTTATGAAGCCGCTGATTGGGGGGCAGCGTCGTCCCTCTCTGGACATGGGATGGTCCTTGTGGCTGGGTGGGCTCTCGGAGCCAGCAGCACTCTTGGGGCTTGGAGCAGATCGAGAGGGCACGTGGGGGGGCGGCTCCCCTTCCCTGGGGCAGCTTTCCCATGCAGCCTCCCCACAAGGTGCCATGGTGGCGCCAGAGACCGGTGGGGGGAAGGCACTCGCGGGAGGGGGGAGAACACGGGGGAAGAGTCGACCCCCCCCCCAGCAAGCTTGCATCCCCAGTTGTGATCTGGAGGCCTGCAGCTGCTCTGCAAAAGAGGTGGGGGCAAGGAAGGCCCCCAAACACAAGCCTGGTGTGCCCGGCCATGTGCCAAATGGAGCATCTAATCGGAGGCTGCAGCTACGCATTTCAGGGAAGCGGGGAAGGAGAGGTGGGGCTGCGGCAGCTTCCCCCGAAGGTCGGCCTCGCCGGCTGGGGCCTCCGGAGGCCCCGCGAGGGCCGGGTGAGCGTTCGGAGACTCCTCCGGCGCTGGGTGAAGCAAGGATCCAGGGGGGCGCTGGCCGGACGCAGTGGCTTCCTCGGGCCGGGTGCCTGGGCGGGGGCTGCCTGCTCTCGAGGTGCCCGGCGGAGGGTCCCTCGCCTGCCAGGGCTCCGCTCTGCAAAATGCCACTTCAGGCACATCCCGCGGCTTAGCTGGAAGCCCCGAGCTTTTGAAATGCGCCTGTTGAAGGAAAATCTTGTGTGCACAGAACTGGGGCCACTTCAGCGCTTCATTTTGTCCTCGTGCGAGTCTCAAAAACCGAAAGCTGCTGCCGCCCCCCCACCCCACTTTAAGGTTAGCAAATGCCCCCGGGGCCCGGGCCGGGCGTGCTGGAAACAGCCTGAGGGGTCTCTGGGGGCCGGGCAAGGCCAGCTTTGCTGTGGGCAGGTCCTCTGCCCGCCGCCCCCCAGCCCCCCACGGGTACGGAGGGCAGGGCCCGCTCCTGGGGGGGGCGGGGGGCGTGGACGGCTTGCAGGCGGGAATTGCGTTTCCGGAGGGGAGTTGCGGGTAATTAAGCGGGGTCAAAGGTGCGCTGGCAGGGGTGCGTCGGAGGCGGCCGCTGCGCCCGGGAGGTGTTGTGTTAACGCTGCAAAACTTGTTAGCTCTTGAGAGCAAATAAGGCGGTGGAAGTCGAGGCACGTGGGTCAAAGTTCGTCTCCATGGCGTTTGGGCAGAGCCCGGGCCAGCGCTTGTTCTGCTTTCCGGGAGGGCCTGAATCCTCCATTGTCCCGCGGGCCTGCGCGGAGGCGGCTGCCGCAGCCGGGGAGCGCTGGGCCGGGGCACCCAGCCTGGGCCGGGCCGGGGGCAAGGACCCCCCTCCGTGCGGGAGCAGAAAGGCCCTTTGTGCAGGCCGGCCCACGGGGGCGGTGCTGGGCCGACCCGGCATGGCCAGGCTCCCTCTCCCCCTGGAAAAGAGCAGGGGGAGCCCGGGGAAGGCAGTCCCGGCGGTTTGCTTGGGTTGCCCTGTGGCCCGGAGAATGGCGGCCGGGGCAGCCCCTCGGCATAGGGCGGGCCCAAATGGCAGGCAGCAGAGGTCCGGGGGGGGCGCTCCACGGGCAGGCACCCCCGCGGAGCTTGGGGACCTGGTGCTTTGGGAGCCCCTCGGATGGCTGTGGGGCTCGAGCTGGTGCTGCCGCCACGCGGGGGGGTGGCCCGGGTGTGGGGGGGACTGGCCGGCGGGGCTGCAGTCGCCTCTGTCGGCCGCTCTGCCCCCACACGGCACGGGGCAGCCCCCGCTCCCCCCATTGCTCCTGGCGCATCATGCGGCCTGCTGCCAGCCGGGGCAGATCCTCACCACTGACATCAATTCGCCTGGTGTTGCTTTCTCAGTGGAGGATTGCAGGGGAGGGTCTTTCGGAGAGGGGCCTGGGGGCAGGGCTATAGGAAAAGCTGAGCCGGCCCCTTCCTGCCCCAGTTCGCCAGCTCTCTTGCAAGCCAGCCCTGGGAGTGAGATGGATGGATCGTCAGCGGCAGTTTAAGGGAAGCAAAGCGAATGCTTCCGAATGGTGGAGTTTGGCTCGGAGGGAGTGGTGGCCACGCACAGCTATGGTCTCCCCCTCGGCATCCCAAAACGGTGGCAGGTGTGAATCGGTGCGCGTGCTTTCACAGAGGTGACATTCAGCTCGGCTCGGCTCGGCGAGTCCAGCCTTTCCAAGTCGGGCGCCCTCCAGATGCATTGGGCTACAGCCACTGGCGCCCCCCAGCCTCCCTGTATCTCTAAGGAAGGTGGCCTTCCTGGGAATGGTTTCCGGCTTCCCTTGGGCACATCATTTCGGATCAGCCAGACATATTTTTATACTGCCTTTGGACAATAAAATGGCTTTCAGGACAGCAAGTTTCAAGGCGAACTTAAGTCACTGCAATAATGAGGCAGCGGTCTGGAGCAGAAACATAGTGCCAGAGCTGGGGACGAATGGAGGAAGGTTTCATAGCTCCCACTGAGTACAGTCACTAATTCCAGAAAAACATTGCAGGGAAAAGAAGGGCTGAGGGGGCGGTCCTGGGGGTCCTGGGGGGCTGCAGGCATGCAGGGCAGGGAGAGCACGGAGCTGAGGGTCGCTGGACAGCTGACCGCCCTGGACACCCCCGAATATATCCTGTCTGGGGGCCCTTTCTGGGGTGCATCCTCCAGACTCGGCCAGGGACCCTCCGGTTGTGCGTGACAATTGAGGCGTAATATATTTTGTCTCAATCGTCTGTCTTTACTAAAATAGCAAAACGTGGGAAACTGGAAAAAGCTTCCCCAAATGCCACCTGACCTGCTCTGTGAGGCGCATACCATACAGAATCCGGGTGCACAGAGAGCGCGCAGGGAGAATCTCTCTGCTTTGGTAAAACTTGGGACAAGCAGCATTCAGAACAAACGTTTCTGAAGGGCCGGCCTCTTGCGCCGTTTGCTGCCGTTTTGCCGAAAATGTCATCACATCCCTCACGGTGTCTGTCCCGAGGGATGGAGGAACAACGCACGGTGCAGAACACCCCCCGCCCCGGTTCCCGTCCACCTTACGGCCCTCATGCTTTCCGCCTGCACCAGCCCTCCTCTCACCCTGGGCCACACACCCTTCCTGGTCGTGGGGCCAGCCAGACACTGCTTTGCCTGGGGCACATCCCCTCCCGGGCCAGCCCCCCGGAAGCCCCTGGTGCAACCCACCTGGGAGTCAGAGGGCAGCAGAACCGGCGGCCCACAGCTGCTCCCGCACAGCCTTCCCAGGAGGCCTGACTGGTCACACCCCGAGAGACACCGAGGCCTTCCACGGGGGGCAAGCGGCCCGCCCACCCCCCTGGCCAGGGGTCCTCGCGCTGCAGTACTTGTTATACATTTCGGAACCGCGGGAGAGAGCCGGTTGGGGGCGGTGGATTTGGCATGCGGGACGGCACGAGAAGTCTCTGGGGACGGAAGCTTCGTGACCTGGAGAGCAAGTGGTGCTCACGCCAGGCACTCCGGATCAAGGCCCGCGGACCAGCAGAGCTGTCACGGTGCCACGCGCGCTGGGCACGCGGCCCCGATCCGCCCGATTGCGCTCCCCGGAGCCGCTTTGCCTGCTGCCGAAGCCAGCGAGGGCTAACGAGCCGCCCAGAGCACAGTGCGCAGTGGCGCTCCAGCCCCGGTGCTTGCAGGGCGTGTGTCGATCTGGCCAGGGCTCCTCAGTCCCGGAAGGGACACCGCTGGTGCCCCAGG